GTCTAGACTACTCTAGACTGGCTCTACCCTGGTCTCAACCAGTCTCATCCAACCCTTGCCCTGGTCCTGGCCTTTACCCTTAGACCAAAAAATGTGTTAGCTCATGAGGCACTGCTATGCAGTGCCCAATTGAGTTGTCCACTCAGTTGGTACTGGGCTGGTGTAACACCTGGCCCAGCCACAAGTCCTGCCCCAGTTCCTGATAAATCCTTTGTTCATAGTTTTGCTTGATAATATTCTTTGTAACATTACTTACCAATCAGTTTACCAATCATTGTTGTACCAGTGCAGACCAGTCTTTGGTGCTATGTTACACTTGGGTTACCTCTAGTATTTAAGCCATAGGGTAATCATTTTAGCCTCAGTCTGGAATCAATCTAGTCTTGTCTAACCCAGTCTCTCTAATCTCTGACTTCTGCCTCTTGACTAGACTATGGCCCATGCAAGGGAATAGTGCTGCACCCTCAGTCACTAAGTCCAACAGTCCAACCTCCTAGTTCCTAGTCTACCCCCCTGACTCCTGACCAGACTCCAGACCAGCCTTGGACCAGTGAAGACCCAGACTTAACAGTATTTCAGACTCACACTTGTGTGGGTCACTACCCTTCTGTCCAAGTCTCAGCAATACTTTCTCAGCATGCCTACCCAAACCAGAACTCAAGCAGCATGGGCACATGCTACCACCAATCCAGATTCCACCTCAGCAGTTGACTTGTGCTGCACTGCTGCCCTGGTGTCCTTAGGGACAGCTGGAAGGTTGCCCAGTGAAGTCAACAACTTCAGGGGCTTCTCAGCCTGCAAGTCTACCACTCCCACTCCTAATCGACCTCCTGCACCCACTAATGATCTGGATGATGAACTGGACCCAGATGAACCAGATGACTTCAATCCTGGTGGTAATGACCCTGGTGATGATGGTCCTGGTGATGATGGGCCAGGAGATGACCTGGATAATGATGATGAAGAACCCATCCCAGAAGATGATGTCAAGCCTGGGGTAACTGTGCTGGACAACCTTGCCAAAGCCATCAAGCTTCTTGCATGCAAGGCTTGCACTGGCTCTGAGTCCTCTTCTAGAACCAAGTTGCATGAACTGGACACCTTCAATGGGACAGACCCAAAGAAGCTGTGCACATTTCTTATCCAGTGTGAACTCAACTTCTGGGACCAGCCCTGGGCCTTTTGAAGTGACCAAGCCAAAGTCACTTTTGCACAGTCATTCCTGAAAGGGATGGCTCTCAAGTGGTTCAAACTGGACCTACTTGGGACTGAAGACCTGGAGGACTGGCCCTATTGGATGGACTCATGGAAGGAGTTCATTAGAACCAGTTCGGAAACTGGTGTACAACCCATTTCTGACACATGTGTCAGTTAACATGCCCAGGATGCTCCATGAACTAAAAGGCAGAATTTCAACCTTCCTTCCAACTATACAATGATGATTGCTTGTCGATATGATGACCTCAAACCCATTATTGCTTGTATTGCTTCTGCTACACTTTGCATTGTACATGTTGCTGGACTCCTTGTTCTTTTAGAATCAGATCAGGAGCCAGAAACAATGAGTAGTCACAAGTGGACTGATTCAGAGACCCACACTCTTCTTGACTACCTCATTGAACACCGGTCAGAACAAGGTGATACAGGCAACTTCAAATCCAGTGTATTTTCTAGTGCCACTGCTGCAATCACTCCACCTAACTCACCCCCCACAAGAACTGCTCAGCAGATTCAAAATAAATGGTGATGGGTAAGCGCATCCTCCTCACACTGATAGCCTTGACTGATATCATTATTAGTTGAAAGGGATCTATAATTCCATCAAAGGCTTCATTCAATGCTCTGGGTCTGGCTCATGGGATGAACATTTTGGTGCCAATATCATCACACCAGCCAAAGAGAATGAATGGAATAGCTATGTTGCAACCAATGTACATTGTCCCCTATCATTGAGCAAATCAGTTCATCTAACATGAATACATCAGAGTGGATGATGTATCCTGCCCTATAAAAATGTGGGATGGCCATTTTACATGAAGATGGCACAGATCACCCCATCAGGAGGGGCACAAGGTGCTAATGCATATGCACCATTGGAGGCCCCCTGATCCAACTGGCCCCCAAATTGGCTCAAGGATGAAGATCAAGAAATTTGGCCAGGTGACTTCAACAAGCCTTCCAACAGTAACATCAGTGGCACAAACCTGGCTCCTGATCCCTCATATATTGACTTCATGGCTGAATTTCCCACATTTTTCCCAACCCTTCACACCCTGATCCACCAATTCCATCTGCATCACCCAGCATCTCAGTGCCCATTGTGGTCCCAATGTCACACACCCAAGGTGTTTGGTGAGGTGGACATGGATACAGCTGATGAATGGAGATGAAGACCACAGCCCTCATGTGAAGAAGGACAGCCAGGAATGTCAGCAGTCATCCTTCACACAAGAACAAGTCATCAGTGCCAGAGAAAAAGAAAGGGAGTGAGTTAAGCACTGGCTAAAATTCTTAAAGCACCTGTGTATGGCATTCTGGTTTTCGACATATCTCTGCTGTTTCTGCAGATACCAAGACCATTCCCACACTCGCTTGTAGTGCTCAGCCATGTGATCCTACCTTCCAAAATGGGAAAGGATTTGCACACTGCACACATTTCTACAGCACTCCCTCCAAAAGATGCTCATTTCACTAATTCTTCTGATATGGCCACCTCCACATCAATCATTTCACTTGTCCCCTTTGCTAGGGACCATGGCTACATATATCTACCAGGAGTTCCTACCAGCTTCCATCCTGAAGCATCCTGGTACATCCAACCCTTGTCTGTGCCCTCTCAGCCCATCCAGCTTGGACAGCATGTTCTTTTTGTCAGTATGACCTCTAGGAGGACATTCTTTGGTCGCCTCAGGTCTGTCATTCACTTGGAAAGGTCTTATGTGGTCATTTCAGTCTCTCCAGTCCAAGAAGCATATGGATCCTTCCTCCCTGCTCCCTGCAAAGTCTTCATACCAGTCTCATCTGTCATTCTTCCAAGATTGCAACAGCTACAGTATAATCTACTGTTCTCTACTCTCCCTGATTGCATCCATGACAAGTATGATGCACATCTTGCCTCCTTGTTGCAAGATACAGCAGAAGACACTCCCCCTTCATCCTCTCTTCCAACAGAGCCTCATTCATGAAGTATTTATTTGCTTCACTGAGAGGATGGATGGTTTGGGGGGGAAAGTTGCGATCCCCTATGCTCCTGTCACCCCACAGACCCCCAAAGCTTGACCCCTGTTGACATCTGACTCACCCTGTCCACTTTTGGATGTACTATATTGGCATCAGATCAGTGCTGCCTCTCTGTCATCCCACCTTGGCCTAGAAGCAATCTCTTTGAGATGTGACATGCACAGCCTCCCCCTAATGCAATTCCAGTGCACTTTCCCAGTTCCTGACATTACTTGACTCATACTTTGATGTTCTGACTGTCTTTGACTCACCTATTTCCAATACTTACCAATCTTTTGACTTTGCTTACTGATTCTTTGCTTTTTGGCTTGCTAATCCTTACCAATGCCTACCAATGCTTTCCAAGACAATTACCCATCACTTACATTCCTTACTCATCAGTTACCAATCACTTACCAAGTGTTTGCACCTTGTTTTCCAAGGGCAACACCCCTGTACTGTATATAAATCACTGTACTTAGACAGCAAAAAAGAAAAAAAGATGTCAGAGAGCCCCTCTTGCTCACATTTTATCATCACTCAGTAATTCATTCAGCAGCTTTGATAGTTGAGACTTCATCAAGGGTCTAACTATTGTCTACTTCGCTTATCGTTGTCTATCATCAATATACTTCACTCCAAGCCCTCCCTGAGCTCAGTGCAGCTTAGGACATTGAATTAAGTTGTCATCCATCCTTCTATAGGCTGACAGCAGTCTACCCTATTGCATTCTCTCACATTCCTGCTTCTTCTTTGTCAGGAGCACCCCCAACCCTCAGCACTTGTCTTTGAGTGTTGTAGCTTGCAAAACCCTCCCAAAGAACAGGTTCTACCATCTGGGTACCACATGGGTACACCACCACTTGCTTTTTATGTCTTTTGTGTTGGTTCCGGTTGGTTTTCACCACTGAACCACACTTTGGCTCACAGTGATACAGGAACTGGTTCAGGTTTCAGTATTCATTCCTTCATCATTGTAAGTGGAAACTACACAAGTGGACTGCTCGAGAACTTACCCTGGAGAGTGAGAGAATGACCTAGATGTTTCCCTTGAGCAAACTTCCTTTGTAGGGGCAACATGAGACATGGCTGATTACATTGGTTGCTCCAATAACAAGCCCTGGAAGAAGCTCCTCATGGTAGAGATGAATGTCCAAGAGAGGGAACTTCAAGTAGGGGTCATATTCTGCTTGTGCAGGGGAGAGAGGGTGGAAAGGTCAAACAAATAGAAAGTATTCTACAAGGGTATCTCCATTTGGGCCAGCATGAGTGTGAACAAAGATGTTCTGAATCTGCCCCAATTGGCAGTCCTCTCCAGGTATGCGATAAAACTGGATAAGGGAGTCATGGTTTACCTTACAATTGGTGGTATAACTTGCACTCTTAATCATAATTTTGTCAACAAAATGAGCATCCTGTGAGAGAACCATAGCACCAGCTATGTCATCATGATCAACACAATAATTAACAGGACCAGAATTAAGGTGGAGCCACTTGAGTAAACCTTGGTAGGAAGCATCATCCAGCTGCTCTGCTCTTCCAGCATCCACTGCAATACCACTGATGGCAGATTGCTGTAGTGGTTGAATATTGCTGAGGATGCTCCCCTGTGATGTGGAGCTAATGTACTTCCCACATGGCATGCTGACCTGACCCAGTAAGTCATGCTGCTGAACAAGTGTGCACAAATTTCCACCACAGCAGGACTTGAAAAAGGACAGCTCCATCTTGCCTGAAATGCAATGAGTGTTGGTTCAGATCATACATACATGTGATAGCAACTACACACCCTCCTTTCCATTTGTGTTAGCACTGCCTAAAATTCCATTGTATGGCTCAAATGGAAATGCCCACCAGCCATGTGTGGGGCCAAAAAGTCGCATACATTCAACCAGGTGAAGGGAGAGGTGGTGATTAGGTTTGAGGACAGACAGGGGAAATAACCTGACAAGAGAGTGAAGATATAGCTAGAAGTTATCTTGCACAACCTTCATATGTAGTTCAGAAGTAGATTGCTTTGTGGCCCAGTGAACAGCCATAACCAAAGCCAGAAAGTTTGCCAAATAGGCCCTGTGTGCCTGCTTGGAACCCAGCCTTCCCCACAACCAGACAAACATGATAACTAGATTGACCTCACAAGCTGTCTGCCACTGATCAGCCTTTACATAACCCTGATTTGGACTGCCCAGGTTACATGGTGCTTGAGCCATCCAGGAAGGTAACATGGTCTGGTTCATGTCAATCTAAATCTCTTCCAAGATTCCTTTGTGAAGAATCAGTGTCATCATGGAATCCAAATTGGATAAATCATGCACCAGATTTGGTGAAGGCTTTGGAAGTTTAACAGAACTAAGAGGGTTCTCTTTTTGCTTTGTGCTCTCAATGCATACCTCAACTATGAAGAAATAAAGTGGCCAACATACCCATTCAATCAAAGCACAGATTAAATCCTTCTTGGTGGGACCACCAGCCACCTGTATTTCATTGTCCTAGGCAACAGCTCTGAGATAACCAAGACAAATCCAGTGAAGTCATGATGCAGATTTGAGTTTGATGGCAGTAGCAGTATTCTGGAGTTCCTGTTCTTGTTCTTTGGTAGAATGCAGCACCATTCCTTTGGGGGTCTTGCCTGCTGTCGATGTCATCCTCCATATATTGACTAAATGACGCTTGAGGTCACCTAAGAAGAGGTTATGCATTGCATCCAAAATTGTGTACTTCATGATGTCCTAGTAGGGAAGGCAGAGTAACTCCAACCAACACACCAGATTCTCCTTGAATAGTCACTCCCATTCCCTCACTGTGGGTGCATCCCACCACATAGTTGCCAGCCTAACATGCTCCTCTCAGGAATAATGTGGCCATGTTTCAACATCAAAATTTGTGATGTCAGAATCTTGCAGACAACAGAAAGAGCAGAAGGAGTGACCAGAGTGACCCATAAAACTGGCTACCTTTCTTAAGGCAGGCACATCACATATAAGTGGGATGAGCACATAGTGTACAAGGCAGCCTGCAGGACAAGTGGCTGTATGGGAGAAGTAACAGCTGGGATCCCAGAACTGAAGCAGTTCATTAACTAAGGGATGTAAAAAGTGGTTCATCTGAGAGGTCGACAGTTCTGATGGGCCTGGAATGATCCCCACAAGGTAAACATTTTCCACCTGATAATGGAAATGTACAGGTAAATTCATGCAGACCATGTAGATTGCTCCAACAGAGATAGCCTTTGCATTTTGTTTGTGGCCATGAGGGTTAAACCAGTCTACAAAGAGGCTGAATGCTAACTGCAATTCATTATCATGGCCTGCAAAGAATGGCTGACTGTCTGGACCTTTAAAAGAGCAGAACACCTCTGCATCCCAGATATCCTTCACTTTAGGCAGAGGAGTCCTCTCTGGTGGGGAAGCTAGGTATGTTTTGAGATCCAGTCAGGGCAAAAGACAACCAAACCACAACTTCATTGGCTGGTACATGAAGTGCCAGAATGGCTTGATGCCTCTGCCTTTGCCTCACTTGGATTGTGTTAGTGTGGCACAGCACAGCTGAGATCCATGGATTTCAGGATAGGTGCAAGTAACAGGGTATTCATTGTCATGACTTTTGGATGGAATTGTAGGAGCATAGCAGCACAAGCACTTCAGACAGCATGTGAAATGGATAGCCTGAGGGTCGAGATTAAGCTCTGCCATCACACCACAAATGTCCTTGGGCCATTTATCAGGATTCATGAGGTCCTGTGTGGGCTTAGTGATAACTGTAGCCTGTTTAAAGGCATCAAGCATGCACATGCATGTGGCCATGACAAGGTCTTGCAGAGCACACAGAAGAAAGTTGGCACCTTGCCAGGAGATGTCCATCAACATGAACATGACAGCCATGATGATTAGAATGTTGATGAACAGCATGGGAAATTGACTTACATGGGACTGGAAATGGGGATCTGGGAGAAAGCACTGTGAGACAAAGCAAAGAGCAGCCCAGAAATTTGCAACACCCATTTGAATGATATGTGGCTGGTCTCTGGTAGGTATCAATCTGTTTTTGACCTTTTTCCATTGCCACTGCTCAGCTATAATGCCATCAAGAAATGTTTGCTGATCTCACAGCTTAGTGATGAGACTGGTCCTTCTTTCCTCTAGCTCTTGATCACTGTAGGTTTGAATGATATCTGTATTGGATACCAATACAACAATCTCATCTTGACAAGTGAGAAACTCCATGTTGAAAGACCATTGCCAACCAGTGAATGCAAGCTGGGGAGGGGGGTCCATAACTGGGATCCTTGGGAAAGGTCAAGTCAGGATACTGGAAGTCCTTTTTGAAGAGAGATAGTTGTTTTTCCAAGCAATCGAGGATTGCATGCAACTTGGAAATCTTCAAGGAGTTTTGATTGGATATAACACCCTGCAAGTCAAGGGTCCCTGACTCTGCTGCATGGTCTATGGAACACATAAGGATGAGGGTATACACTTAGCAGCAAGCATACCCATAAGCTTGTAACTGTCACCAAGCACAGTTTGATCTCTCTGTGCACCAGGAGGCTTGTGCATGTGGAGAGCTGTCAATTTATCATCAGTGTGATCAATTTTGATTTAAGGTCAAATGCACTGTCATTATAAGGAGCAGAAATCAATGCATCTGTAGGCCCAGGGTGGAGTAGTGTCTCCACTAAAATCTGTTCTTCTTGTTGTTCCCTTGTTGACTCCCTCACCTTTGACTTCACCATGGCAGATGGGGTGGCACCCAAAAGACTGAGCTGCTTATCATTCCCACCATGAGTCTTGTATATTGAGGGTGCCACATAGAATCCAGTGATCACTTTGTTGGAACATAAAGTGCCACTGTTTATTGGTACTTAGGTGCGATGCTAGTGTGCTTACATAAGCACAAAAAGCGCACATACTTGTAGTATTCTCTACTAGTATTCCCTCAGTAGTTTGTTCACTACTGAGGGTAAGTCCATTCATATTCCAAGTATTCTACTATACTGACATCCTGGAGTAGCCTACAGGTACAGTAATACATTCAGTAGTTTGTTCACTACTGAGGTAGCCTACAGATATTTCTACATGCTTTCCCTGTAAAAGGATCACAGTTGGTCATCTTGCCATAGCCTGCAGATACGCAAGTGCACAGCTGCAATTTCAGTGCCATGTCAGTTGACAGAAGTACTGTTGGAACTGTTGGAACAGAGTGCAGGAAAGAAAACCAAACTTCCATGGATTTCATGCCAACATGGATTTGCAAACAAATCCTGACAAAACAAGGAGGTCTGTTACCATTGTTGGAGTTTATCACCTTTACCTTAGTTGTGGTTCACTGAGCACAGCATTACATAATCCAAAAGCGGACACTTAGCAGTTTATTTTTCCTTACTGCACCTCAGCTTCAGCCAACTTGAAGTCTGAGTATATTCCTTTCTATAGACTTGACAATCCTGCAGCTCATCAGCCTCCAAAAACCATTACTATTGTGCCAGTATGGCCATATGTACATGTTCATCAATACAACATGCATCAGTAAACCACTTTGTGTGCTGGCAGTCCTAGGGAATCTGTCCAGTGCTGGACAGCTCTGGACAGCTCTGGCCAGCAAAAGTGATTTACTGATGTGGTATGACTTTAGGTTGTTGGAAAATATCTCTTATCCCAGCCTTTGTATGTTACTAACATCTTCTTGTGAACCCAATGGAGTTGATTAGGGGAGACTACATGCAATCAATGGTCAACCAACAAAGAGTGTAGGTGCACAAACCAACCAATGACCCAGCCACTAGTCTCCTTCACCCAAATCTGGGTGTTCAAGTGGTACTGGTGCAGGTACAGATCTCCAGAATTCACCAGCATTGCAGGATTGGGGCCTGCAAGTGGCTGATTTCCAGTCAACAGGAACAGCATAAAGTGATGATTGACACCATAGATTTTCATGGACATTCTTGTGACAGAGACTGATTTGGGCAGCATCAGAGCTGTGCCAGAGGGAAGTGTTGCAGATACAGTTCCACCAGTTGTCATAGATGTGGGCAGTGATCTCTCAGTCAGAGCATCCCTGGCTGCAAGAGGGGTGCACCCAGTGCCCAAAGTGGATACCTGTGCAGTGAAACTGTGGATATTGTGCCCTTGGTTGGTTTCAGTGTTGCTGGTGGGAACAGAGGATATGTTTGATGAGTTTGGCATAGTTGTATCCAAGAGGCTTGGATGCCCAGTTCTATCAGCCTCCTTGGAAGAGCTCAATGAATTCAGAGTAGGGTAGTTCAGGAGACTTGCAGGTCTTCTACCCATCTCCCCACAGGAGCTCAAGGGACTTAAAGGAGGGGAGTCAGAGTGACTCACAGGCACAGTTTCACCCATTTCCCCAGAGGACTCTGATACAATGGCTGTTGAAGAGCATGGAGTGCTAGTGAAAGCTGGAATGACCTCAGGTTGCAGGGGCTCTCCATGCTGAGGTGAGATAATTGATGAGAAATTGATGTGCATAATCAGAACTGCCTGCAGAGCAAGGATGCCAGTACAGTCAACCAAAGCAATCATATCAAAGCTGCTGTCACTTACCTTGCATATATCAACAGGATCCTCAAAATGGGTCTTTCACATGGAGGTCAATTGGGTGGGAAAGCATATGCACTGCATAGGTACAACCTTCCACACATGTTAACATGGCCACTGCCTATACCAAATCCCAACAATCTGAGGAACTCACATCAGTGCATGACCTGAGGGAGGGCTGATAAGGTCTCTGAGAATTCCACCTATATCAAAGCTGATATGACATGGGAGGGCATGGTTCCTTCATGGGAAATTGAGGCTACAATGTGGAGAGGGCAGTGAGGGCTGTGGGACTGACTCTCTGAGAGACCAATATTTGAACCACTATGCCACCTGATTGTGGAGACAGACACCATAGGACAAACCTATGAGAACTCAAAAATGGCATTGTCATGATAAAGCAGAACTGCCATCAAATGCTCACTAGAGGTGAGAAGCACAAAGTCCAAAGCCTGGAAAGCAGTTGGGTTGAAAACAGAAATGCTGAAAGTTGGACCAGAGTTGAAAAAGCACAAAGAAACCCAACAGATATTGTAGGCAAAACAAAGCAGAAACCCTGCAGAATAGAATACTCACGAAATCTCATAACACCCTAGCTCTGATGGTGTTGTTGGTTTGTTAGTCTCTTTGTTTGTTAGTGTATCCTTGCACCAATGACTGTCAAATTGTAACTAGTGACCTTTCTTGTGTAGAGTGAAACAAAATAATGATATGGCCAACTACAAGCTCAGGTGAAGATGGCTGAATTTGTAGAGGAATCAAGTCTCTTCACCTCTTCATCTTTGAATTCATTGTCTGTGCTCATTCTGTCATCAAACTCGCATAAATATCATATGAACATTGCTCTCCTGGCCACCTACCGATGCTTAGTGCATGTGGCCCTTTCAACTGCTCACACATGCTTAGCAGGCTGTTCCCTATGCCTCATTCATGTGCACATACTTTCTCAAGTTGCCTCATGTTCTGATCATGTGATCCACTCTTGAGTGTCTGGTCAGTCATGCATCTCACATCAGGAAAATAACACTTTACTATTTTTGACTTTTTGTGAGTAATGTGACTTTTTGGGAAGGAATCTACTATCATTACCCATGTCCTGCAGGCATGGCTGCACTTTTCTTGCTGATTTTGGTCTTGTTCAAACCCCCTAATTCATAGCTTTCAGTAGATACCACATACATTCAAATTGATGGAGGTTCCAAAGAGATATTGTGATTTTTCTCTCAGACAGTGTGCATCACACCAATGGCTCAATATCTCTGAATTTTCAGACATTTTCTAGTCTTCTTGGCTTAGATATATCATCACTTAGTTGTCTCAATAGATTCTGTTTTCTTTTCATTCTTCAAAATGCTGTATATGGTCAAAAAAAAAAGTACAGATAGTAGATTCCTTCCCAAAAAGTCACAAATAGTCACAATAGCCACAAAAAAGTAAAAAAAAGTCACAAAAAGGTCAAAATTAGTAAAGTGTTAATTTCCTGATGCAGCATCTAGGCATCTATTCACAATCTATTGTTTTCATCTTCACATCATTTGGCATGGGACAAAGCAAGCTGGTAGTATGTCATATATGGCACATAAGTATATATATTGGTCAGCTTTGTCACTTTGTCCATAATTCTGCTTTCATCAGTGACACTATGCATCCATGCCTACCTGTGCTCCTGGTCTTTGGATGGCTCTTTTTTTAAATCTTCATGGCAATCACTTGTCTCTTTCATGAAATTCAATGATAAGCTGCTGCTACTCATACCCTCAAGTCGCTGTGTGGGATTGCATCAAACAACCTAGAACTGACTCTCAATGGTCCCCCACTTGGCTTTCTGGCTGGGGATTCACTAGTTGCTTCAGCAACAAAGACTCATTTTGCCAGTCACCAGCTGCTTAATATTGTCAAAACTGAACAACATGGGACTAACAATTTGACTGGCATCCACCTCACTGTCATATACAGAGCAGCAACTAATTTCAGGGTTTCACTCCACCAATATCTGAGCAGACTGGGTGCAGCCATTGATAGGTGGGTTGCATGAACATCAGGAGATCTCTGGTCATATGCCACCCCCTCCAGGTCAAATGTCTATCCTGCAATGACTGACTATCACCCAATCATCCCAGGCATAGTGTGTGGATGGAGAAACCTTGCTGTAGCAATGTTGCACTCCAGCTTTGCACTAGGAGTGCAACTGGATGAGTTAGAAAGACACTTTGCTACTTTGATGGTACCCAATAGCAAGGCAAGATTTGTTTATATTCAAAGCTCAAAGCTGGGTAACGTTATGAGGATTTCAGTTATTTACCATTACCAGGCAATCCACATTGGAGAGTGTTGTTCAGACTCAACAGGGTATTATAGTGCTAACTGATGAGTTAGAGATAGGCATTGCTTGCACATGGCTGCCAAATTAATGTAATGCTAACTAGCAATTGTATTACATAGTATTTGGCCTGATGTAAATGGACATCACTGGAAACAGTGTCCCAATATTAGTGACTTGAAAGGTGTCACTTCAGACGATGAGCTCGCATGGCTGGGTGGCTGTGCTTTGCTCGTCTGACACTGCAACTGCTGTGACTGCATGGTCAATGCACTCCATGGCACCAAGTATAACCTGGCTTGTTGAAAAGTGAGTGCCAGGCAGATGGCTGATTTCAATGAATATTGCACCTTACCTGGCCACTCCCACCCAATAAATGTTGTCTGGTTTTCATCAGATGGTGATTGCATTGTTAGCAGTGGTGAGAAATGGCTACATGTTTTGTCTGCAGAGTGATGATAACCTTATAGGGGACAATGGGTGAGTATTGATTTGCAACCTTGGGAGAAAGAAGGTAGACCAGGTATTAAAGACTCACCAGTGTCCTGTAGTTGGGGTAGAGTGGATCCAGCAACTGGAAAGTTTTGGGGTAGTGACTGCTGGTGCAGATGGTACTCTCAAGCTGTGGAAGGTGTCCACAATATCAGTAAGTTTCTCAGTTGTATGTCAGTCAACAACCCCTTCATCACCTCAGAATACATTTACCTTCAAATTTGCATCCATCTATTTACTCTTTGAGAATCCCATCGAGAACTCTGCCTTGGCAAGTGGTCATAGGCTTTTTGTGGCCTGTGGTGGTGGCCATGTTGTGACAGTAGCAATCAATCTACATTGTCCATGTGAGTTAAATGCCATGGAACTTCACTGTCATTTACATGCTCACTTCAGGTCCATTTCATGAAATCAGTTTCTACCCACCAAAGGAAAGCCCATGCCATCTGGGTTTGGCCTGAACTGTCCACTTTTTGGACAATGAGAAGTCCATCATGGCTGGCTTCTTGGATTCCAAAGACCTGTAATATTAATGTCCACATGTCTATGGTGTAGGTGACACTGATGACTCTGAAGGTATTCCTGGACAATATCACCTTGGTGAGAGAACTGGCATGCAAAGTGATCTACTAGGATGTAGGGTCTCTGCTATTTGACCTGTCTACTGTGGCTGATTCCCCATTTCAGAAGCAATACTGTGTGGTCAGCAGTGACAAGGTTACTACTAGTTTGGAACCTTGTAGATGGGGTTGATGTGTATCATGTTGTGGAGTGGCCTGTGTTCATAAGCAAGTTGAGAGGAGAGTAACCATTGGTAGGATGTATGTCTGTCAAGTTGATGTTGGCTGTCAAGGAGTGCTAGCTGCTTCTGAGACAGACAGAGGGAAGGTGTGCATATGGAACATGAATTCCATGGAGAAATCTACTGTGTGACTCATGGCCATGGTATGTCATTAAGCTATCACAATATCAAATTGCTGTCTTACTCAATTTCTATTACCAAACATTCTGGTGATGGACTTGGTGAGAATTTTCTATATCCATTGTGCTAGTCTTAAAGGCGCTCTTAGATGTCACCGAGGTGGGGCCAAAATCACCACAATTACTTGTCCCTCGCCCATGTGGCCAGCTTTCAAAGCCTGGGGCTGGAGGTTATTGTTTGAGAGAAGTTTTGAAGTCAGACCAGTCTTTGTATTGCACAGTCCAAGTAAGTTGTCATGCACTCCACCCTGAAATTCACTGAAGTGCTGATAAGAAAGATGTCCAAAAGATATGTCAAGAGTCCTGCAACTTGTCAAAACCATATCATGAGCAGCCCAAAGACATACACATGTTAATCAAAACTATGGTATGTGCTACTTGTCTATCAGTGTACTGCCTACTCACACATCTTCAGGTTCAGCACAACTTCCCCTCATTGAAGCAGTATCAAGATGCATGGCCTGCTGCAGATTTTGCCACTATATTCCTGAAGAATACATCCTTAGTGAGGCAGTGAAAACCAGGTACCAACCCTTTCCAGCATGGCCTATCTATGAATTAAATGCAGGAACTTTGATTGAGATGCATGCACCCTCCCACCTTTGTATGTTGGACTCTTCAGTTTACTTTAGGGACATTTCTTGTCAAAATGTAGTTATAATTATAATGATAAGTATAACAATCCCTCTGAGCAACTCAGGACCATCTTCTGCATGACCACCACACTCATAGCACAGCTGCAAAGATGAGCTCAGAGCTGAAGGGATGTATAGGCAGAGGAGAACAATAACAATGTTACATCAAGGCATTGAGCCCAAGCAGGAACACATTCAGGATACAAAATGCTAATCAACTAGCCACTGCTTAAGCTGGGACCTCAAATATGCCACAAACTTTGCCCACAAGGATGACATCAAGTCTCATAACCACTGAAGGATTAAATACCAGGCCATGCTGAGAATGCCCCACTTCATCAAATTAATGTTAGTGGGTTTGATGGCATGATAAATTTGAGCTTACAAGTGAAACAATCAAATGCGCAGCATCATCAATATGCCAGATATAATAGCTCCAAACTGCTAGGAAAAGGAAAATAAAAGAGCCATAAACATGAAAAACTCTCCATTTTTCATGAAAATCTGCATAGTAGAAGAAAGCCTGAGGAATATATATCACAATGTACCTCATAGTGATAGTAGCCAACTTACCATTGATACAAGAATGGTACTGGCAATGGAGTTACTGATGCTAGGATCTACCAGATAACTGGTGGTCTATCAAACAGAAGGGGAAGGTGATATTACTTACAAAGATGTGTGCTCCATATCTTGATATATGTATTTGAACCCATTTCTGCTGTCACAGTGGCAATGTAGCCCATCTGCCTGTATTGGCCAGTCTGAGAATATGAGAATGACACAGTGATAGAGATGGTCCTAGGTACTCACACAAAGTACTTGAATGAAATCCCCTGTAAATCAATGTATAAATGTTGTGTCATGCATAAAGCATACATACACTTTACCATCATGCTCGAGCATCTGCTGATGCTCTGCAGTCCAAGTTTCATGAATAAAGACATCACCTTTGGTTACTCCACAAATAATTGCATTTCCATTGTGCAAAAAGGAAATGGAAAGAGGGTAGTTTTGCTCCACATCTGGGGCTTGAGGATACATCTGGATTTGGGTGGACTGGCCAAGGTGGTAAAGGTCTGCACCTGTGGATAAATTGGAAACAAGAAGTCCCTGCTGGTCTGGAGACAAAGCAGAAAACCTGCTATATCATGTTAATATTATGGGGTGAAGAGAGGTTAAGCTAAAGCCAACATACATGTGATGATGAGTATGGCCTGGTTTGATTTGCCACAGCTTGGCATGGGTTTCGATGTCCCAGCAACTAGGTGAATGTAGATGAAGGACCTTTCAACAAATTCTGTGATACTTACACTATGCCATGATTGAGGTAAGAGGCAATGACTTTGTTCCCACCCATCAGGAAGTGTAGAGAACAAGTGTGGACTGAGCATTCATCATCAGCATTGTCAGATCCTGAAACTGGCCACAGTTCAGGCAGCATTGGGAAGATATCAAATGTCACATATCATCCTAAGGCAATGGCCAACAAATTCAATGTAGAGGTTAGAATGTACAACAATCAAAAGACAAGGTAAAGTGTACTATGAGCAATGGGTTTGGTGATATGAATCTCTGGCCCTACTCCCAGGGTGAGCTTTCCTGATGAAGGGTCCAAGTCAAGACAGTAAACCAGAGCCTTCACTCCCAGTAAGACAGCCTGTGCAGAGTCCAGGTCCTGATGTTGAGTATGTCAATTAACATGGAAAAAGAAAGTGAATGTCCCATTACCTGAAAATTCACTCAACACTGCTGCTACTCTGTTATCACAACCAAAAATAATAGTTGAGCACTGGCATGGATCCCAGAGAATGGAGAGTATCAGGACTGAAGTGTGGATGATGCATGCCACTTCTCCACTACTGACATGCCACACCATCAGCAAATGGTCGTCACTACCACTTGCAAGGTAACTGACCTGTGATGAGAATGCTAGACAGTTCACAGTATCAGTATGGCCTCTCAGGCTTTTATCCCATATGTACAGAGTGGAGAGCATCAGAAAATACTTGTGAAAGGTTAGCAAATTGCCAGTGATTTGAGGGAACTTGCTCCTTTTTGTAAGAAATCCATTCAAACTGCCCTCATGCACACAAGGTAGCATGACATAATATGACATATTGCACCCTAAAAGACTTGTGCCACAGATGTGATTTTGTGAAGAGTTGAAGTAGCAGAGATGCATATAGCACAAGCGAATCCCAGGACATGATACATGTATCACAGGCAAGTCACTGTAGGGAATGTAATTTCCCTACCAGGGGAATTAGTTTATTTTCCTTGTTTTACTTGGTTTTCATTCCTAGATACTTTTTCTACAAGTTATACTTAGATTTCGCTTTTTTGGTTGCTGAGTCAGCAGTAGTTCTACTTGTGCACAGCTTTTTTTTCTTTAAAAATAATAGATGAGTTACCATAGACAAGAGACAAGCTCAAGCAGGTCATTCCCTGCACCAAGACAGCCATAGAAGCCTTCAGATGACTACCAGTATCCAGTCCCAGGCTATAGAAGCCCCTGTTGGCCTACTCTCTCCCCCCCAGATCTTGTCATCCTCTCAAGCTCTCTCTTAAATTCCTCTTCCTACAGATGTGAATCTGTGAAGAGTTGAAATGGTACATGTATCACAAGACTTGTTGATCCTTTGTGTTGAGCAATATCACAACCAGCACAATGTGTGAGTCATGAAACTAGGACAGGCCAGCAGGCTAATATTGGAAGCACCAGATATTCAGCAATGATCAAGCAATGACAAGACAATGACTGCATGTCAGGGATGGTGACACAAATGGAGACCCAATAATTTTTATGAAGGAATTGAAAGCAGGCTCTGTGCTGTAGCTCCATTGTTGCCACTGTAGGGAATAGGTACTCCCTACTAAGGGGATTTAGTTATTTTATCTTTTCTACTGTATTTTTGCTTTGATTTACATTAGTGATACTTAGCCTACCTGTGTGGCGCATTTTTGGTAGCTTAGTCAGCATTTTTGCGCACTAGTGTAGATATAGAGTACACAAATAAAAAAAGAGGAAGAACCAGACAGTGAGACAGTGAAATCAAAGACAGCAAATGAAAGAATGTGACAAGCCCTTTTTGAGGCACTCCCAGATGACCTCCAGATGCCTTTACTCACTCATTTCCCCACTCCATTCATTTTGACCAACTCCTGTCACTCCTTCACCTCTTTTCACCACTCCAAGCTCAGAACCCCTCTGGGTCAAACTAGACCTGTTCCTATCAAGCCCTAGGAGTCCCCTGCACTCCCTAGCATCGCTTTTTACCTAACTTACACCACTATCAAGAAAAACTTGAAAGGTTATTTGCTCAGCCTATAAGTATGGCACCACCATTGAGTATGACTTACTGTCAATAGTATCCCAAACCTCTTGCTCCAATGCCCACTATCTGATCTTTTATCCAAACTCCCAGGCATTCCCCATGTAAACATCAGCCAGCACTCAAGGCAGTGCCAGCTCCTGCAATTCCACTGGCAACTATTGCAGACTGTTTTCCTCACAATTTGTTGCAGAAAGTGGAGCAAATGACCAAGTTCTTTGAACTGGAAGTGATATGTTCTTGGGAGGTAAGTATTACCTCTGATCCTCCAGCCCAATGCCAAAGTCCTGACTGTCCATAGGAGAAACAAGTTGCTGAGGACATGTGAGTTGCTGTTCAGAAAGCTGAGGCCAATGCCAAGGCTGCAGAAGGGAAGATACATAAACATATGGAAAAGGTGAAATCAGTTTACCTACCTATGCAATCACTGAGTGCATTGGTGTTGCAGTTCACTGCCATCCATGCCAGGGTGGTCAAGTGTCCCATGTGCAGGAATTGTATGGATCATCCATTCATATGAGTACTCAATTCACATGTGAAGTTATGTAATCATATCACCATATCAGGCTGGTCAACTGTGGCCATATGCTTTGCTTCGGCTGTCTGAGGACATGGTTCCACAAATGTTTACTGGATCAGGTAGGCTGGAAGGATATCCCTGCTCACTTAAAGGAGAAGCCTATGACAGCTGCAAAGCTCAAAGAGCTGCACAAAAACAAGCACATTTACATCCCTTGTTATACCTGTCCTGTCATAACTTGCCAGACTTTCATGGATTGCAAGCCTATTGAGGTAGCCATCACAAAGGATATGATTGGTGTGGTCAATGCTGTGTTTGGAGCTCCCATAGGCCAAGTTGATTCAGGCCTGCTTCTCCAGCATGGCAACATCTGGGTGGATGTCTTCTATGAAGAAGGCAAAGAATAAATAGAGAGCACAGCATGATATGCATATTTGATCTGTCATGTCCTACCCATCCCTTATGGCCTCAGCATATGTTCTCACAACAGGGTGTCATGGTTATTCTCTAAATTTGAATGTCCTGCCAGTCTCATACATCATTATGGCAGGTTGTTGTCATTACTCTCTTGCTATACTCTTTGGTTTGTCTCACATTATTTCATCTCACCAATTGGTTGTGTGGTGGTTACATAAAATTGTTCAACATTTACTTGTATCACCCAGAATGACTGTCTGCTAGTACTTCATGTTTCCTGTGCTAGTGCTACACTTGTACAACAGCAAATGTTGATATCAGTCTTGTCAGGTTTGTGTGATCAGCCCTGGCACTAACCCAATCCTTGAAAGTTGACACACAGTATCTCTCTCACTTATGAAGATGAAGGTTATGTGGAATGATTGTTCACAGTCAAGTATCATTGCAGGATGCAGAGCAGTCTTCATTGAGCAGTGGCCTGGCTGCCCATTCTTTTTTTCCCTCCCACAAATTGACAGGAAATCAGCCCTTCCAGTGTTTACATAAACACTATACCATCCCTCCCATCCTGCCACCAGAGTCACCCAAGAGTCACATGCATTGGGCATCTGTAGTTGGAGGTAAGTAATGAACCATTACTCTCTGACTATTTCTGTTGACATCTCCTCAGGTGTTTTTGGATCAATCCATAAGTTTCTTTGCTGGGACTCAAGGATTGAATATGGGCACCATAAGGCAAATTGCTTCAATTTCCATGAGTTGGCCCACTCTCTGCCTTCCCACCCTCTTCTGAATGCCCCTGCTTTCCAACCAGAGTCACTCAAGAGTCACACACATTGGGTGTCCATAGTCAGATCAGGTATGCTACTTATTGTTCCAAAGTGTCAGTCATGCCCATATTCCCTAGACAATCATCACTACCACTTTGCCCACTATCATGCCTGAGCTTGGTGGCAGGAGGAACTATAGCTGGGTTGGAAGGTAGTTTAGGTTGCTGGCACCATTGGTAAGTAATAGACCATTACTCTCCCAACTATTACAATATACAAGAAAAATGCTGACCTCCTAGCAGGTTACCACATTGCCCTGGATCCCAAGAAGTGGGAAAAGGGAAAAGAGAATGCTGATCTCACTTCTGCTGAACAAGAAGATAATGCATCTGTCAATCAACTTGACAGTGAACAAGACAAAGATGAAAAGAAAACTATCCAAGGCAAAGAAGCACAAGTGAGAATCAGATGCTGCAGTGAAGCCCAAGGTCAAAGCTAAGGTTAAAACAGGCAAAAAGACATCTGAAAGGCAGGAAGAATGGAACCAAATTGAAGGAGATGGTCGAGTCTGAAGATGATGGTGACCAAGACACTGAGGGTGAAGGCAGCTATGTGGCTTTGGAAGCTAAGGCAGCACCACCTTCAAAGAAGCTGAAGCAGGAGAAGGAGAAGGATGAAGACATCAATGGTACAGTTTTTTTTTTTTTCATGAATAAAATGATGATTTCTCTGACTATCCATGTCATTAGTCAAAATGGAGTCCAATCCTGAAGCAAGGAAAGTCAGAGAGTGGCAGCACAAACTGCAGAAGCCACTTTTGGGTAGCAAAGGCCTTCCATCACCTGATGTATGTCACAATGCAGATCCATTGCCCTTGATGTTACTCATCTTAATCAACTTTTCACAACTAGGAACATCCAAACCTCATTGACTACCTCTCTGTGTGTCTCCCATTTCTGGAGTCAACAGTGCTATGTGCCTGACCTCTACCTCCCAGAACATGTTTCAAGATTGGGAAGGTCATGCAACACATCAATATGAAAAGAACTCTTCCCACACTTGGCCACTAATGAACTCTGCCATTAGGCTTTGGTCTCAAATGATCACAACCCTCATTGACATATCACTCAGAACCCAACAGAGCAGTCAATTCACCATGATGTTCAGATGCCCATGTTGGCACAAACAGGTGAACAAAAAGAACTCTTCCTGCACTCAGCCACTAATGAACTTCACCATTAGGCTTTGGTCTCAAATGAACATAATCCTCATTGGCATATCACTCTGGACCCAATGGAGCAGTTGGATCACTGTGATGATCAGATGTCTGCTTTTCAGATGTTTGCATAACAGGTGAGTGACAACAACTCTGCCCCCCCTTGGCCACTAATGAACTTTGTCATTATGCTTCGCAAGTATCTGCCTTGAATGGCTGTACTATCCCTCCTCAGCATATCATGACAGAGCTGTCTAACCATGGTAATGTTCAGATATCTACTGAAATGCCTCATGTCATGTATCAGACATCTGCAGAGCAGGTGAAAGAAAACTGCTTTCCCCCATCAGTCTGCTAATGAACTTTCTCACCAGACCTTGCAGATGTCGAATGACCACAATTCAGACTTGACAATGCACCCCAACTACAGTGATGTTCAGACAGCCACTGAGGCACCTCTCACCTCATATCAGTGGTGTGCACAGCAGGTGAATGAATGACAAATCTGCTCCTGCACAGTTACTAATGGACTTCCTCACTAGGCTGGGCAAGTATCTCTCTTGAATGACTGTAACCCCTGTCAGGCCTATGGTGATATCAAGATGTTTTCTGAGGCAGCCCATGCCCCATATCATGCATCTGCACAGCAGGTGAGTGGGAATGCTCTACAGTCACCTACCAGCTAATGAACTTCATAATTGGGCTGTACAAAGTGTATATTTCAACACTATTTCAGATGATGTACAAAATTGGTTTCACCATCTCGAGGCCATGGGTGAACACAAGGGACTTGTTGCTTATCAGCATGTCCTTGCAGTGTTGAATGGTTTACAGATTTCACCATCAGCATCTCAGGAGGTCTGGTAAAAGATATCTCCCTTTTACTATGAGAATACTAAGAGATGCTGACACAACTTGTGTCATTCAGGAATGCAGTAGATACTGAGGGCCATGGGTGGCTGGACTTTACTAGTTTTGCTTGTGTTCTGTTCCTCATTCAGTCAAATGGGCATTTACAACATGTTTCCCACAACTTGGTAGGAGCCATGGCCATGCCCATTGACATGTACTGATAGTCTTTTGCAGTTCCCTGTGGGTAACATGGAGGGGACAAGTTTTTCCTGTCCATTGAACATATATCCTGACATCACAAAATATTTGCAAGGCCAACCCTCAATGCTGAGACCCCTTATGGGAAATGTGTATCTGCCAATGCTGATGAACCATTATCCTCATCAGCCACCACCAAACAACTTGACTCCACACAAACACCAGGTCACGATGGTTTCCTCTGCCTTCCCACACTCGCAGGTTGACCCTGTAACAACCATGCCCCCCAGCAACCTCACATGCCCTCCTCTTGCCTCCATTGGCCACCATGGTTGATGCCTGGATGGAACAGAATCAAAAGACCAGTCAAATCACTGATCTCACATTATGTGGGGAGGTGCCCAGTTCCCAGTTTTGATGACCACCTTGGTACCAACAGACTGCAGTGGATTCTGGCCCTTGATCAAACCATCATATGCCTCAGGACCCCATGGGGTCATTTCAGCAACATGATCCCAGGGGGCAACACATCCTATCTGCCCCCTTATCTCAGCACCTTTTGTCCACAGACAGGATCACTGGCAGTTCCTGTCATCCCACCATTGACTCTGCACACCCCATCCAACCCCAGCAGACAGCTTCTACTTCAGGCTGACCTCTGGCTCATGGCTCTGTAGGTGTCATTCAACAACCAATTATGGCCCAGAATACCTTCCCTCTGGCACCTCAATTTCAATCAACAGTTCCCACATTCAAAGGTGCCCTAAACCTGCCAGCTGCCACTGCCTGTGAAATGAACCAGCTGTGACAAGTCAACATAGGACATGAGACAGAGACAATGCACAATGCACAGGAGGTAAGCTTTGGCTTTCTTCTCTCAATCTGTGTCTGTACCTACTATGCATTGATCTAGATTCTGATGGTGGGCTGTGGCACAGGCCAGATTTTTTCACTGATGTCTGCAAGGATGTCAGAGCTGATTGCAGCTGTGAATGCAAGTTCTGAGGTGCACTGACAGGACATGAAGCAAATGCACCTGGAATTTGATGGATTGATGCAGCTGAATCACCAGGCTCTCAACAGCAGATCGGAATCTGGGGGTGCTCAGGCAAGCTCACAGGGACAAAATGAGTCTGCAGGGTCCAAGCCCACTCAAAGATGCAAGCAGCCCCCCTTGGAAGACAGATATCATGGAAAACCTGGTCATACAAAATTCTGGGTATACCTCTACTCACTACAATTCTGAGTGGCTTCACATTCCATCAGCAATTGATACAGAAACACTTCTTGCTGATTACTGCATATTACCAATTACAGCTGTCTAGACCAATTGCCACCACCCCCCTCTGACAATGAAAATCTCACATGCAACAGGCATAACCTGGGTCGCATCAAGATAACTCCCAATGACTTCTGCATCCATCTATCATGCTCCTGTCGAATGCCTTTCAACATGGAGGCTATTCATGTATTTGCCAAGGACTTCAAGAGGAAGGTAGAGGAGAGAAAATGGTATTCTTTTCCAACACCTCCACCTGCTCACTTCCTGCAGTTGGAATACATTCGAGCTGTCCCTCTACCTTCACCTGCATTATGTCAAGGACATATACACCAACTTGAAAAAGTCAGAGGAGACGTGTTGCACCAGGCTGAGGAGTGCCACTCATAGTATGTGCAAAACAAGGGTAAGTCATGAACTGTTCCTACATGCCCTCCCTTTATCTTACATGCCTCAAGCTTTATACAAGCAGGGCAGATTGTGTCACAAACAATGATGAACTTATCATTCATAATGACCTGATACAATTAATAGGCTCTCAAGTTGTCAGGCTCAGACAAGTCAGACATGGACTCAGATGGGTGCAAAGTTTATCTGATAATTCCTCCTGTTTGGTGCAGCAAAGAACTGGCCAATCTTATGTGCACCATAGATTCCACAGTCATTTCCAATCACCAGCCAAGAGTTGGACACAGGATCCATTTGTGATGTAGGAAGAGGATTTAAATGAGGAGAGAGGTTTAGTAGGGATATCTGAGGGGAATGAGTAGGCCAAATGGGGCTTCTATAGCCTGGGCCTGGATCCTGGTAGTTGTCTGAAGGCTTCTATGGCTGTCTTGGTGCAGGGAATGACCTGCTCAAGCTCATCTCTTGTCCATGGTAACTCATCTATTCTTTTCAAAGGAAAAAAAACCATACACAAGTAGCACTACTGCTGACTAAGCAACCAAAAATGCGAAATCTAAGTGCAACTCATAGAAAAAAGTATCTAGAATGAAAATGAAGTAAAACTTGCAAAACAAGGCAACTCCCCTGGTAGGGAAATTACATTCCCTACAGCAGTCAAGAACCAAGGCACCAAGTACCCAGTAGCCTTGTCAATGAGGATGTGGTGGCACCCCCAGGACTGCCACTCAACTGCTACAAGGGAAGTTGGCTGACATCCTTACTGCCTAATGAGAGAATGAAACTGAATGCCTGGGCAGATAAATGGTATAATTTCAAGAGTGGAAAAACAGGTCAGGTTGTCCTCAGCTGACATGTCAGCATTCACTGATCAAGTTCCAGAGGTTGTTGTCCCACCACATGCTGGTGCTACCCCACTGGTGATGCAGACAGACAATGAGAACAGTGGTGACACTTCCACTGAACCAGAAGATAATGACAGTGACACCAAGAGTGAGGTTGAAGACTTTACTACTCAACTATCGCAAGTGAGCTTAGACAAGGACTGAATACTGTCCATGGCTCTATTACTCAAAGGCTTTTGAACATTGCATGATAGATAGAAATTTACAAAGACTGATTGGTGTTATACTATGCTATGTATTGTACACTGTTACAGCAGTTCCCAAGTGTAATGAGACTGTGTGAATTTTTTTGAGTCACATGTTGAGTCATTCCAAATTGGGAATGAGGTGTAATAAGTTGTGTTGTGAACATTCCCTACACCATTGGCATCTCACCACAATGATGGGAAACTGCTGTATCAGCAAAGACATCAAGGAAATTGCCCTCAAGCTTTGGGATCAAGGCTGGGAGGCAGAGGATATATGTGATACCTTAGGAATATCTTGCACAAGCCTCTATCAATGGCAAGTGATTTTTGCAGAGCATGGCAGTGTCAACCATCCCCTGTCACCACTGAAAGGCCAAGGCCTTTCATATCCTTACCTGCACCCTCATTCAGGCCTTCCAGGGCCTATTCTCTCAAGAACTGGATCTATTTCTTGATGAAGTAAAGACTTGGCTAGCCCTTGAACATGACATCATCATCTCCATGTCAATGCTTGCTCACAATCTCACTGAAATTGGGCTCACTTGCAAAATACTTCACAAAATAGCTTGATCAATGACCATTTCCCTTAATCATTTGTCATTTACTGCAATGTCTGGGACACAGAATACAACATAGTCTGGCAATCTTAATTGAATGAAACCATCTGGTGTGATTTCAAAGTTCTTGAATACCTTTGGGCCATCCAGTATCTGTTTAAAGAATGGGTCTTTGCCATATCTGTTCTGTGCTTCCCTAAGTATGCCTTCATTTCCTGGGTACACAATGAAGGGCACAAGATTCATTTCTGTATTGCCTGCCATGCTTGTATCACTTGTATCATCTAGTTCCCACACACTCAGCAATGAGCTCTGTGTGTCTGGCAATGTGTCTGTAGCATGTTCAGGGGGTGGTCCACTACCCTTTCCCCCCTTCTTTCGTTCACCTGGTCCAAGAAGAATGAAACAATCCTTCATTCATCATGCAAACTCAATTCCAGTCTCTGGTTGACCAGTCTCAGCTGGCAGTG